TCTATTGGAAATAAAAAAGAAAATATAATGTAAAAAGAAAATATAATAAGTTTAACCCACTGGTGGTTAAGGAAATGGGCAAAATTGGGAGAATGTTTCTCCCCTACACACAGTTCCCCTATCAGTTAACATGGGAAAACCGGTTTTGCTATGCAGAGAAAACTGCAGGTTAAAATGCGACTTTTTACGTGCATAACCGTCAGTGGGTTAAAATGTCAATAATATAATCTTTTATTTTTGTTAGGATTAGCCGTGCACATTAAACATAAATATTTGTTTTTCATGCCATGCACGATGCATTCTTTATTTTTTTATCAAATCTTTCTTAAACATAATGCTCTTTTCCAGAATCTCTTTTCAAATAATTTAATTTTACTTCATTTCTATTTTTACATACACAATTAATGTGAGAAAAATATTTTCTTTCAAAGTATTGTTTTTATTACTGACAATTTACTGTGGAATATACAAGTAAAAAATTAATAAGATTTTCGAAAATATTTATATTTTAAAAATCAAATACAAATTATTTTATAGAATCCTCAAATTTAACCTTAATTTTTTTTTTTTAAAATTTGTATTTGAGTTTCATATAACGATATTTTATCCCAATATTGGCTTTCATTGTTAACACAATAAACTTGCAAAAAATTAACAATGATAAAAAAAACTAAAATAAATAGTTTTTATTTTATTTTATTTTATTTGAACAACTATAAATGCTACCTTTTTATTATGACTATAACATTTTAACAAAATACGTGTAATTTATTTTTCAAATACAATATATTTGATTTAATTGAATTTAAATTGCAGAAAAAAGTAAACACTTTGATAAACAACAAAAGACAAAAAAAATGTATATTTGAAAAAGAGTTTTTCCTGGCAAATATGTAAACTGTAGTAACTAAAGTAAACATCATACTCTATTTTTATGATTATTATTATTCAATAAATATTGCTCTATGATATACTTAGAGCAGTCACTTGCTTTCTTTATTTTAAAAACCAAAAGAGTTAAGTTTAGCCAATAATGTATTATCTTATTTTTGTTATGATTAGCAGTGTACATATTTCTTTTCTATAGAATGCATCGATGCTTTCTAGATTTTTTTCGAGTTCTTTATTTATCTTCTCTGCAAATCGTTTTTAAACATAAGGCTTTTCCCCAAAACCAATATTCAAATAATTTAATTTTACTATATTGCTTATTTTTACTTACACAATCAATATGAAAGAAAAGTTTCAAAACATCGTTGTTATTACTGATAATTTACAGTGGAAGCTTCAAGTAAAAAACTAAGTTTTTTTTAATCATATTTTTGAATAATCAAAAGTATCATGGCATTTTCAAGACCTTCTGTCCTTGCATTTCCAGGATTCATATAAAAAAATAATTATTAATCTGCAACATAATTATTAATCTACAACATGTTAAAAACATTTTCTATAGTTATTTAAAAATTCATATTAAGTAAAATTTAATAAAAAATTCTAATTAAATTATTTCGTTCATTATTTCGTCATACTTTCAAAGATTTTTTTTTATCGAATTTGTAGTGGAAGAGGAAAAGAATTTATAAGTGCGAGGAGCTGAAAAAACTGCCAAATTGATATCATACGGTACTCTTTCACGATTTGTTTCAACTTTAAAGTTATTTTGGAGTTTGTGAATAAATTTCTGTATCATCAACACTAGGATTTTAGACCTATATGACATAAATGTAAAATAAGTTTAAACTGAAAAATAAAGCTAGTAAATCTTCACCTTAAACTGATCTTTCGTGACATAGTAATGTAATGTAACTTCAACTTATGTTATGAGTAAATCTAGGTTTTTTGAGTGTCTTTATTGGTATTAGAACGAAAATCACAAATTTTTACATAAATATTATTACAGTATTTAACCCCCTCAATTTATGCTTAATGCAAAACTTAATATAAAACAAATTAACTACATTATTTTCATTAAGCTAATAGTAGCGGATGTGTCTTATGTAAATTTTTAATTAATTAAGTGAAACAACTTCACTAAGTAAGTCATAATAAACATTTAAATAAGTAACTTGCTTGCTGAATACTTTTTAAAGTCACTTCAGTAAGTAAATTATGATTGACACGCAGAGAAGTAATGAAACATTTAATAATTCAGTCTTTACAATATTTTTATCGAAAAAAAAATATTTTTCTTCATTATTCAAAAATGTCATGCAGCTTTTTTGCCATCATTATGATAAATTACGCTCATATGCCATCCATCACCTAATTTGTTTTTAATTTTCTTCTCATTAAAATGCCTATAAATAACGATACGGTGGTAAGTATCTCAGTGTCATTAACACATCCATTTTATATTTGCTTTCGGTTATTATTAATAGTCTGACAGTATCCAGATGTCAGTGTCTTACGGTAACTTTCTTAAATGGATTAGCTAAGATTTATGGCCGAAGTTTCCAAAATGCTTTATCTTTGTTTCTGTTGGACAAGAAAAAATTTCGGTCAAGCCATTTTAATTCAATTTCAAAGTATTTCGTGTAAGAGTGCCAAAGATTTTCTCTGGAATCTATATATAATTACAACACGCGTCAAAACGAAAACAAATTAAAGAACTTTCAAGCACATAAAGTGAATTTATTTACCATGTTTTAAACGAAAACTAAATGCTTACTTGTAAGAATTCAGTTTACTAGTATTTATTTATGAGGTATTTAGACTATTAATTAATGCCGAAAAAAGGTAATATGTACAGTAGATGAGTTATAATTAGGCTTATTATATTGTTTGTTTATTTCTTACTCAAGTAATAGTTTTGTTTGCACGCATTGTGGTCAGAAATCACATCCTTCCTAGTTCCATTTGTACATTTTTCTAAAACGATATAGCTTTATATTAGTCTTTTAAATCAGCCATATCTATTTATTATGATTGATATAGAATTTATTATTGTTCATGTGATTAAGAAGGTAATTTTTCTACCAAGATAATTAAAAATCAGAGATAATCTTCATAAAACAACAAATTCATACAATAAACATTACAATCAAAATGCATAAATAAAACAAAAATTATAAAACTAATAGCTGAATACCCGTTCTTTGCATGGGGTGAATAAAAAATAAGTAAGACATCAATAAATCAGAGTAGAGAAACACTATAAAGTCATGCGCATAACTGAAAAGCATATGCGGAAATAATTAAAGAGCTTAATGGAAGAACCAGGTAAGTGACATTTTAGGGGAATTAATTAATTACTGTTTTTGCCTTCTTTTAAATCTTAACATAACTAATCACATAAATTTTTAGTATGCTATCATGGTTTTTATTTCAAATTAGGCAATAGGGTTTTATTTTTTATTTAATTTAATAATTCAAATACAACTTATTTTTTTTATTCCGAAAATACCACTTGCCTGCTTCTTTCCCTAAGTTTTTCAATTAATATAGCTAAAACAATTTAATTTTTCTTATTTAATATTAATTGTTGCCCGTTACGTTATTGAAATAAGTAAAACTTGCTCTTCGAAAACTTGTTTCTTGTTGAGATCCCATTAAAATAAGGATACAATGTAATTATCATGATTGGCATGGTGCTATTACTCGTGGCAAAACCATAATAGTCAAAATTTAACACTATCAAATAATTTTCTCTGGTAAATATCCCTTTTAAAGGGCCGTAAAACACTATACTTTCGAAATTATCCGATGCTTAATATTAGTTCAGTTTTGATCATCACCAAATATATCATTATAATATTTTATACCTACATTAGCATATTTGGTATTTAATACATAACCATTCAACATTTAAGTTTTCTGAAAAATATATTTATCAGTGACAGCCAACTTAAGCCAAAATTTATAAAAAATAATAATTCTTATTAGAAATTAATACAGATTTTGCAGTATGGCCATTTCTCTATCCAGCCTTTATTTTACTATGAAAATATTTAGTAGTGGAAGAACAAATTTCTTTTAATTCTCATTCATTAAAATATAAATAAACTATCTCTTCACCACTGAAAAAATATTTTCTGAAACTACGAAAAACCCGTTATAGAATTCTTATCAAAACTGCACCAATTAGTGCAATACAAGTAGTACATATTTTTCGTCATGGATCCATATGAATTAAGCGTTATTTGTGAATGGTGACTTTCTACGGTTTTCCTAAACAAATTTTTTATTAACCTATTCCCCTTTAACTTTGCTTTTCAGCACATATATTATTTAATTTTATTTCAATNAATAATAATTCTTATTAGAAACTAATTAAGATTTTGCAGCATGGCCATTTCTCCATCTAGTTTTTAGTTCACTATGAAAATATTCAGTAGTGGAAGAACAAATTTCATTTAAAACCAATTAAGCGCAAAGTCTCCCATTTTGGGAACCTTTGTTTAAGAATTTTTTTCTCGCTGAGCAATTGACGTACATATTTTTTATATTTTTTCATCGACTGTTGAAAGTTTTTAGTTTCATTAGAAATTTTCACAGAAAGTTCGAAATGTAAATTATATGTTTAGAAATTGCCTAAATTTAATCAAAATCGCTTTTTTTTTACTTCAAATGAAAATAATTTCAGAAAAAAATAATTTTTCAATTCGAGAAATTTAAAAATATTGAATATACAAAACAATTGCTCTGTCTTCATAAAGTCACAAACAAAATTTTAAAAAATTGATTTCGAACGATCTTACAGTTGTTTATTTAAAGAGGTCCCAAAATGGGATACTTGGCATCTTCTGACTAACCCCACCCTCAACTCATTTAGAAAAGGGGAAATATTCCTGGATTCTTCTTTGTCATACTTAGTACCCTCTCTTTTGTTATTGAAGATCAAATGTTTTCAGTGCAGGTGTTGAATTACTCATTGTGACCCTTCCCATTTTCCATTCAATCACATGGAATGTTTCAAAATGTAAGATAATTTTCTTTTCCTCAGTAGTTTGATCTGATCGTTTGGTGAGTGTGGTTCTATTTCTCTAAGGAACTTATTAAAAATGGCTCGTTGGTTTTTAACTGTACAACAGGCACTGGATTATATGGAAACATTAGAGTCTGATGAATTCTCAGGTAATGAATGTAGTATTACGTGCTTACCACCTGATCCAAGTAAGGTAACTGACGAGAAAGATTTTCAGGAAAATGATTTAGATGACGTTTTGCCAGTAGACGTCTGTGGAGAAATAGAGCTGAATGTAAAACTTAATAAAACACGGAATGCTTCAAGGAAAAAAACATCTTTGAAAAAGAAGAAGAGGTCTCTCCCTGAAAATTATTCTTCGAGTGATGAAGATGATTTGCCTACAATTGAAAATAAGCAAGTAAAACCTAAAAAAATCGCAAAAATGCGGAAATCAGTCTCAGTTATAACAAACGATACTGGAACGCAAAACAAGAAAAAATCTAAAAGAAAATTCTACAATTGGGACAAAGCTGATAAAATGGATTCTATTCAATCAGAAAAAACACCACTATTAGAAGAAATTAACCCTGAATTAGCAGGTAAAACTCCGTATGAACTGTTTATAATGTATTTTTATTATGATATTTTGAATCTGATAAAAGAAGAAACGTTAAGATACGCTAAGCAAAACAATAATTATGCATTTTCCTTATCTGAAAAGTCGTTAGATGTGTTTTTAGGAATCTCTTTGTTTAGCGGATACCATTCATTGTTGCAAGAGGATTTATACTGGAGGAATGCAGAAGATTGCAATCTGCCCTTTATGCAAAATGCCATGAGTAGGCAAAAATTTAGAGAGATAAAAAAGTGCATTCATTTATGCAATAATGATACAATTGATATCTCTGATAAGTTGGCCAAAGTGAGTTGCCTTATTGAGATGTTTTGTAATAAATTGCAACAATTTGGAACATTTTCTGAATACTTAAGTATTGATGAGGAAATGATTCCTTATACAGAGAGATATTCTGCAAAGATGTACATGCGAGGAAAATTCATAAAATTTGGTTATAAATTGTGGTTTCTCGTTTCTTCACAAGGATATCCATATAATTTGCAGGTTTATGTGGGAAAAGAAGCATCAGCTGAATGTAATACACCCCTCGGAACAAGAGTTGTCTTAGATTTGATAGAATGTATAGAAAACAGCCGAAGACATAAAGTGTACGTTGACAATTTTTTCAACTCTCTGACTTTGCTGGAAGAAATGCGAAAAAGGGGATTCCGTATAACTGAAACGGTGCGACAGAACAGACTTCAAGATTGTCCTTTGCAAGACAGCAAGGACTTGGTGAAAAAAGAAAGAGGAACATCTGTCTGCATTACAACAAAGAGTGTTAGTGTTGTGAAATGGAAAGACAATAAAAATGTATGCCTGGCATCAAATTTTGAGGGAATGGAACCTATAAGACAAGCAAAACGTTGGTGCCAAAAGTTCAGGAGGGAGATTGATTTACCTCAGCCTGGAATAGTTGCCTTCTTGACCGATTTTTGAGTACTTTTTACCTTTTATTTTGGGTCTGTAGACCCAAAATAAAAGGTAAAAAGTGGTGGTGGCCCTTTTTCACCAACACTCTTAACATGGCTGTGGTAGCAGCATGAAGGGTTCATCGTGAGGTTAAAGGAAAAATGTCACAATTAACATTTCTTCGAGATGTAGTCATGGGTTTAATAAAATCCGAACGACAAGAAACTGTGCCTAATGGACTTGGACCGCATGGGCAAGTAAATACCACCATATGTTTTGATGGAGTTAATCACTTCATTACACAGGCTGGTAAGCAGTCAAAATGTAAGTCGTGCAAAAAGAACACTCGTTTGTGATGTGAAAAATGTAAAGTAATGCTTCACAAAAACTGTACAATTTTGTTTCATACAAAAATGTACAACAGGCAAATTTACGAAGATGAATAAAACAGGTAAAAATATTTATGAACTATTTTGCTTCTTTGTTCAAGCATGTTTATTTAATATTTAACTTTATTGACCCCATTGAAACAGATTTTGCGATTTTTATCAATATATATATATACGAGTAATGAAACTAAACATTCAAGTTATAGCGTAGTGTGTAAGTGAGCTGTCTTAGTCCCATTAAACGCCAAGTCACCCATTTTGGGAACCTATAATATATTTTAACCAATTAAAGTTTTTAAAAAAATTTAAAGCTCATATGATTAGAAATGCTTATTACACCTTAAAACATACCGAAGTTCCAATTTTTTCTCAACGGTTTATATAGTGGCGTTTAATGGGTTAATTCTCATTCATTAAAATATTTATAAACTATATCTTCACCACTGAAAAAATATTTTCTGAAACTACGAAAAACCCGTTATAGAATTCTTATCAAAACTGCACCAATTAGTATAATACCAGTAGTACATATTTTCCGTCATGGATCCACATGAATTAAGCGTCATTTGTGAATGGTGATTTTCTACGATTTTCCTAAACAAATTTTTTATTAACCTCTTCCCCTTTAACTTTGCTTTTCAGCACATATCTTATTTTATTTTATTTCAATTAATGCATATTATCAATATTAATAAAACATTAGTGTCAGTAATAATACGTCGATTCAAAATGAATAAGTATCTTTTCTCCAATATTTTTGCTATAATATTAATCAGTTTCTTATGTCAATTAACAAATTACAAACATTAATTAAGCGTTATTGTCGTCATTGATAGCGTGACGATTTCTTACGGTTCTTCTAAGCAAATAAATATATTTACCCCATTATTTCTGCTTTCTAGTACACAGCTCATTTTTTTTTATTTCAATATGCATATGAGAAATTCTTTTTTTTTATATAAAGAGTACGCTGTAGTAAATAAAATAAAGCAAATAATTATTAGTCCCACTTTCTAATAAATTGGTAATAAAATAATTCGGATACATGCGTTCTTTTTTTCGTTCTGAAAATTTCACTTATCTGGTTCTTCCACTAATTTTTTGAAATAATACAACAAATATATATATTTTTTTATTTAATATTATATGCATTAATCTTCTGTGGATTTACGTTAGTGAAGTAAGAAGAACTCTTTGTTTGTAATTTATACCATTGGAATAAAAATGAAATGTATATAGCATCCCTTGGCATGATGCTATTGCTTGCGGCTGATTCATGATAGTTAAAATTTACCGCTATTAAGTGATTTTCTCAGATACGTATCTCTTTCGAGGGGCCGTAAAACACTTAATTCCAAAGTACAGACATTAAAACTAATTGGTGCAGTTTTAATCATTACCAAATATATCAAAATAATATTTATACCTGTATAAGTATACTTGGTACTTATTAAATAACCCTTCAACATTTGAGTTTATGCATAGTTGTCAGAGGCAGCCAAATAAAGCCGAATTTTTAAAAAAAAAATATATACCGTATATTCCGGCGTATAACGCGCACTTTTATTACAAAAAATAACATTGGAATGTACGGGTGCGTGGTATACGCCGAATATAAAAAATTATAGATTAAAAAAATTTAAATATAAAAAAATAATTTTATTTTAAGGAAATAACATACCTTTACCTATATACTTTATTAATTTTCGTTATTACATAAATAGTTCATTATATTCGTCTTCCGTTATTTCTTCAGGCACGTCATCCCAATCTGTTTCGTCTTCATCTGTGTTACCCTCATCCATAAATAAACAGTCATCTTCTGATCCGTCCAGATTATTTGCATTTTTTTAATGATTTTCTAACCATCTCAGGTTTAATTTAATCCCATGCTTTTAATATCCATTCGCACACTGTTTCCAAACTTGCATGACGCATATGTCCTCCTTTCGTAAAGGTTTTCTCGCCCTCCAACATCCAAGTGTTCCACTGTTTTNTAACACCATTTTTGTCCATCCAGAATCACATTATTGCTCTTTCAATTCTACCCTCAAATACATGTCAAATTCAGTTCTTTTATTTTTGCAAAAGATAGGGAAAAGTACTTTTTATTTACAATCTTGAAAGACGAGATATTGCACATGTACAATCCAAATTTTCGTGCGCGTTATACGAAGAGTATATCTTAAAATTTAAAAAAAGTTATTAGAAATTACGGGTGCCCGTTATACGCCGGGGCGCGTTATGCGCCGGAATATACGGTACTAGAATTTCATAACGATGTCGGAGCATAACCATTTCTCAATCTGAAAAAACTGTTAAAATAATTAAATATTTTAATCTACTGTTAAAATATTTATAAGTAATGGTAAAAAAAAACTTTTTGATTCCAATTCATTAAAATATTAATAGACTATCTTAGCTACTACTGGAGAAAATATTTTCTGCACCTACGAAAAACCCGTTGTTGAATTCTCAAAAACCAATTCATCAATTACCATAATACCAGTAGTACATATTACCGTCAGGGATACATATGAATTAAGCATCATTCGTGAATGTCAATATTTTAATGTTTTCTTAAATTAATTCACCATTAATCTTACCTCCATGAGCTTGGCTTTTTAGTAAATAGCTTATTTAATTTTGTTTCAATTAATGCACATTATCAATATTAACTGAGTATTAGTGTCAGTAAGATTATGCAGATTTTTTACTGTTACCTATAACGGAAATAAGTATCTTCTCTTCTTATTTTTGCTTTATAGTTACGAAGTTACTTTTTTTATTTCAATTAATACATATTACCAATCTCAATTAAGCATCATTGTCGTCAAAAATAGTATGACGATTTCTTACGGTTCTACAAGACAAATAAATACATTTACTCCATTTTGTTTTTGCTTTCTAATACATAGCTTATTTCTTTTATTTCAACATGCATATATTAACATAATTAATTAAGCATCATTAGCGTCGATTTTTTACGTTTCCTCTGAACGAATTAGTATCACTTTCCCATTGATTTGTGCTTCTGAAAAAAAAATTCTATACCATTACCTTTGACTTTGAATAAGTATTTTTTTAGAAACACGTTTAGAAGATTTAACATAAATAAAATAAAAGCGCGTGGTATCAGACAAAGCATAAATTTGGTGACGTAGACCACGCGTCCTACCACGTAAGGTTAATTAAATTTATCTGACATAGCGAATATAAAATAATTAAGTATTTAAATGCGTGCAATAAACTATTTTTCCATCAGGCATAGCTATAAGATAGCAATTATCACTGATGCTATTTTTAAAATAAGAGAAAAACTAGATAGTAAAATTTAACGCTTAACCAATCAGAAAATTCCATTTCGTTTTTCGCTCATACCGTTCAAACGATTTCTCGTATAATGTTCTAATGTCGACAGTGACCTTTCTCGTGCCTTGAACTATCCGTATACCTAGTTCCATAGCTTTCTGCCGGGTGGTTTAGGAGTCTATAAAGGACATACATACAGACATTCATTTATATATATATATACATATATATATAAATTTTGAGGAGNAATATTAGACCTAAAATTTAAAAAAAAAGTCCAATATTTATTTTACTAACAAAGTGAAGTTAAAATTTTCATTATTTGTTTTATTTCTATAAATACATCTTTTTCTATCTTTATATTTTCAGAAAACTTTCAAGGAAAATTGTTTATGGTAATTTTAAAAGAATACATTTCAGGTGAATTATAAAAAATAATTAATTTGACTTTTTGCTTACGGCGGATACAATTGAGGGTCCAGAATAGCAAGTGCTATCAAGCTCCGTAGGCAAAACGTTAAAGTTTAGAATAAGTTTCTGTATTGAATTAATAATAAATGTGAAAATGCATAAATCTAAAAATAAATACGCAGTTTTTTAAAGAAGAACATTCTCAGGTTCGCAAAACCTAAGTTTATTTTAATGAATATTTTTGATTATTACTTAAAATGTCGGTTTAAGCAAGATTTTTTTAAAATTCTAATGTAAAAGGTAATTTAATTTCAAATTACTTGATGCTTGTTTAATTAAAACGAAAACATGAAATCACGTTGGCTAATTGCAATGAGCATATGTTCTCTTTCAGTGCCTTGAATAGAAAAATAATGTGTATGAACTCAATGATTGATATTATTTTCTTACAAATTGACATAACAATATTTTAACAAGGCTGATGATGTTAAGTACCATTCATATTTTTGTGAGAAATAATTGCAACATTCTAGCACAATAAACATATTTTTATAAAAAATAAAAGAAGGATAAAGATATTAAATGAAAATAATTTATAAAAACATCGGCTATAATTACTTATTTTCTTCGAATTTAAATCGATATCTTTTGGGTCAACTTAAAATATTGAAGTAAAGAAGGTAAGATAAGAATAGTTCTTGGTAGAATAAATTAAATGCTTTCAGTGCTATCGGATTTGGCGTGATTTGCAATTATTAAATTATACTTCGCAATGGTAGATGCATTTTATTTTTTTACTTCTCTATTTTATTACTTTTATGACATTTCATAAATTTTTTTCAAATTCTGTAAAGTTGAATTCCTTGCACTTATGATCAGATATATTTTTCTAGATTATGCTGTATTCATTTGTTA